GATAGAAGACATAAAAGAGAATTCGCGTCGAGAACTGAAGTCGATTTCGGAAAATGCGTTTAAAAAATGTTTTGATGATTGGATTATTCGTTGGCATAAATGTATTATTTCGAAAGGAGCCTACTTTGAAGGCGATACAATAAATTTGAATGAATAATAACTATTTTGTGTTTTATTGACCAATTCCCGGTACTTTTTTGACAGAATGTACTTTTAGGCCTTGGAATTAGAAGATTAAGATTTAGAAATTAAGTTCTTCTAGATTTAGAAATTAGACTTCGCACGCGACACTTAAACTAAAACGGCAGCGATTGATCGGTCAACTGGAGGAACCAATAATTTACATGCGATCGCTTGAAATAACGCGCGTTATTACTCTCCGCTCTCTTACATTTTCGCCCATGGACATTCCTAACTCCCCCTTCCGTTGACCGCATTGGGGAGAAGAGTCAGGTACATCTCTAGAGGTTTACTATCTACGCTACTCCAAGTCTGTTCAAAATTATTATTGGACAAAATGAGATTGTTACGAAGGTGATAAGCATTATTCTAGTTGAAATAATTTGATTGGCTGACGCAAATTACGCTTACGCAAGTTACGTTACATGTGAAAGCAGCCTCAGATTTCTCTCTGGTCTGGCCATATGCCTTCACAATGTCAGATAAAAGTGGTGGGGATATGTTCTTAATGCTTGCACTTTATACTATGATGAAATGATATAAGGGGAAGCATTCCCGTTGATGCGCAGTCGTCCAAAAATAATAGGCAACCTCGAGCCTATCAGTTATGCTCCACGATGCAAAATTTAAATATAGTTGATAGCAGAACGCCAAGTCTCAACTGACACGCTTACAGTATATCTCGGATAGATATCGAGCTAATTTAATAAAATTTAGCGGTGATCAAAATGAGGAATCAATTACGATTATTATTTACTGTTATTCATTATTATTAACGTTTTCCATTTAATTAATTTTCAACAAAATATAGCATTTTCGTTTCCAATTAAAATTATATATTTAAAGTATACGCTTCCCTCAGTGGTGTATGACTGATTGGTCGAAATTTTAAGCTACCCCCTCCATGCGCAACGTTCCACTTATTAATTCTACCATGCTTTAAGGCCATGGCACATGAAGAACTTAAGACAATAAGATGTAAACAGTAAGAAAATCATGTTGAATTGGCTACTACTTATGTTATGGTCTTACGGACTCTGCTTACGGACTGATTGATTTCGATCGGAATTATTCAATTATTCCATAGATTTATATTGTGTTTTCTAAGGAAAACAAACGATCGGAATCCATTTCGACTTTATTCCATGATAGGTGCCCAGAGTAGCGATCATGTAACTTTTTCCCTAAAGCGGAAAAGTGAAAAGTGAAAATTCATTGTATGTATGTGTGTATATGTACAAACATACATACATAAAAATTTTCACTTTTTACGTTTCCGCTCTAGCGAAAAAGTTATATGATCGCTACCCCTATTCTTGAAAAGAATCGCATACGAAAAATTAGAGATATACTATAGTGTACGTAACATACTGGGTACATAACACTACTGCGGTCGGATTTCCACCTCGGTGTTCCCTAGATATCATATCATCCTTATTGTTTACCGAATGTTAAATAAGGATAACATGACCCAAGGAGCATCCGGGAATCTGAACGCAGCCCTGGGTGTATTCCAAACCGGGTTAATTTAGCTTATTTTTTGCCCTAAATGTTGACAGTTCCGTAACTAAATCGAGAAGTGTTCCAAACCCATCGGCTATCATAACTCATAATAAATAGTAGCTGAGTTTGACAGCCGATGGGTTCGGAACACTTTTCGGTTATTTACCAATATTATTTATA